TGGGTCAACACAAAATCATCGAGGGGCCCAGATATCGCTTCTATTTCTAGAAGGAACAGATAAACTTCGACACGTATACTTGTTCTACTACTTGTTGAATTGTACACAAAGGCACGTTTTATAACATCAAGTTACTGATGCGTTTACGTGCAATCAATGCACAACTAACTCATAGGTAACAACTCATATCTCTAGGTTTGAATATTTATATGATATTACCATCTCACGGTCACTCGAGATAAATTCCATGAAGTGATACAAGTGAGCGTGGGTTTATTCCAATACTCATAACTTATGAGTACTCATGAACGTTGTAGCAACCATTGCCATGTCTAAACACCTTTAGCCATCTACAAACCCAATTCATGACAATCTTGATTCATACCTACTTCCGACGTATGACCGATTGTGGAGGTTTGAATAAATTAATTATTCTGGAAGTCAAAACATGCAAAGCTGAAACAATTGTAAATAATTGACAATGATAGCAACTCCTTACTCATAAATAAATCACAATTTTATTCATCATCAAATGTCGATTACATTTTACAAGTTTCAGAGAATCTATCTAATTTGTAAAACTAATATCGTCCCTCAGCCCGATGCGCCTCGCATGCTGAAAATGCTTAGCCCTCGTCAGTCCCTTTGTAAGGGGATCCACAGGGTTCTCATCTGATGATATCCTCTTTGCCACGAGGAGTCCTACTTCTATCTTGTGTCTTATGAAGTGATATTTTCTGTCAATGTGTCGGGATCTCCCATGATCTCTCGGTTCTTTAGCTAAAGCAACCGCACTATTGTTGTCACAGAAAATTTCCATAGGCTCCTTAATAGCTGGCACAACTCCAAGGTCTCCGATGAAGTTCTTCAGCCATATCGCCTCCTTCGCTGCTTCACTTGCTGCTATATACTCTGATTCACAAGTCGAATCAGCCACCGTCTCCTGCTTGGAACTCTTCCAAGAGATTTCCCCTCCATTTAAGGTAAAGACCCAGCCCAACTGAGAGCGGAAATTATCCCTATCAGTCTAAAAACTAGCATCACTATACCCTAATACTCTCAAGTCATCACTCCCACCAAGGATAAGGATCCAATCCTTAGTCCTCCGCAGGTACTTGAGGATGTTCTTTACCGCAGTCCAATGAGCTTTACCTGGGTTCCCCTGATACCTGCTGACCATGCTCAAAGCAAAGGCCACATCAGGGCGGGTACAAGTCATAGCATACATGATCGAGCCAACAGCAGAAGCATACCGTAATTGGCTCATCTCAGCTATCTCTGCCTCTGTACTCGGACTCTGAGTCTTACTCAGCTTGGTGTTGCTTTGGATCGGTAAATCTTCTTTCTTGGAATTCTGCATGTTGAACCTTTTCAACACCTTATCCGAGTAGGTACTCTGACTAAGTCCAATTAGTCTTTTACTCCTTTCTCTTAATATCCTTATCCCTAGGATATAGGCAGCTTCCCCTAGGTCCTTCATAGCAAAGAACTTCCCAAGCCAGGACTTAACCTCCTGCAAGGTTGGGATGTCATTTCCTATAAGTAGTATATCATCTACATACAGTACCAAGAAGCTAACTATACTCTCACTAGCTCTGACATACACACAAGACTCATATTCACTTCTCGAGAAACCAAACTCTTTGACCTTCTCATCGAAACAAAGATTCCAGCTACGAGACGCTTGTTTTAATCCATAAATGGATTTCTCAAGCTTGCATACTCTATTAGGGTACTCTGCACTGACAAAACCCTCTGGCTGATTCATGTACACATCCTCAGCCAACTTTCCATTAAGGAAAGCGGTTTTGACATCCATTTGCCATATTTCATAATCATGAAATGCTGCAATGGCTAACATAACCCTAATAGACTTAATCTTTGCTACCGGCGAAAAGGTTTCATCATAATCAATACCTTGAGTTTGAGTAAAACCCTTCGCAACCAGTCGAGCCTTATAAGTATGCACTTTTCCTTCCATGTCTGTCTTCTTCTTGAAGATCCATTTGCACCCGACTGTTTTATGGCCTGGTACATTGTCAACCAAGTTCCAAACTTGATTGTCATACATGGAGTGTATCTCGCTGTCCATAGCCTCCTTCCATTTAGCAGACTCCGGGCCTGCCATGGCTTCCTTAACATTGCTAGGTTCATCCAAATTTACTAGTGTACTATCACTAATAAACGTATCACCTTCCGTAGTAATATGAAAACCATACTAAAACGAAGGTGTGTTCCTAACCTGTGTGGAACGCCTCGGAGGTACAGACTCGTCAGTTGGATCAACAGGAGTGTCCTCCTCAGGTTGATTGCTAGTGTCTGAGGTTCCTTCACCAATTGATTCTTGAATTTCTTCAAGATCAATCTGCCTCCCACTGTCTCCTTGGCTTATAAATTCTTTCTCGCAAAAGATCCCTCTTCGTGCTACAAAGACCACATTCTCACTGGGTCTGTAGAAGAGGTAACCGAAGGATTTCTGTGGGTAGCCTATGAAAATACACCTTTCACTTCGGGGTTCAAGCTTATCATGAGTTTCACGCCTCACGAAAGCTTCGCAACCCCAAATTTTGATGTGATCCAAATTGGGAACCTTCCCAGTCCACATCTCATGAGGTGTTTTGGTAACCTTCTTTGTAGGGACTAGATTGAGGATATGGGCGGCAGTCTCTAAGGCATACCCCCAAAAAGAGATTGGTAGCGAAACTCGACTCATCATGGAGTGAACCATGTCTAACAAGGTTCGATTACGCCTCTCATCTACACCATTTAGCTGTGGTGTCCTAGGAGGAGTCAATTGTGAGACAATCCCACACTCCTTAAGATAGTCAAGGAACTCGGTACTAAGATACTCACCACCTCGATCGGATTGAAGCATCTTAATGTTCCTGCCCAATTGATTTTCTACTTCCTATTTGAATTCCTTAAACCATTCAAAGGTTTCTGACTTATGTTTGATTAAGTAGACATATCCATATCTACTAAAATCATCGGGAAAATCTCAGAAAAACCCTATGTATTATAGGTCAATGTTTAAAAAAACCCTTATATTATTTTTTTGTACAATTTAACCATTATTTAGTCTAACCTTGATTGTTTTAATGTTTTGTGACTGGCCACTCTTAACCAACCGGTCATTTAATAAATGACGTGGGTTTTAATAGATCTGGACCTTAACGAAATGGACAATTCTTCTCTTCAAAACTTGCGTTCCTCTACTTCTTCTTTTGATTTCTTGTTGTGCAACTGAAATGGGTGATCAATCATATGGTTCTTCTTCTTCCTTCTCAACTTCTAGCTACAAAAACGTACTCTGTAAATGTGGTGAACAACCAAAGATCTGGACTTCAACGACCAAGAAGAACCCAGGCCGACATTTCATTCGGTGCCCTAATTCTCTGGTATACGAAATTCTTTAAGATTGATGTCGTTTCTCTAATGTTTACTCAAATACTTCATTTTTTCTAGGATTCTTCAAAAGATTGTAAATTTTTTGTATGGGTGGATGAGGATTTGGGTCTTCACAGGTATAAGAGTAAAGTTAATGAGTTGAATAGGGAGAATATGGATTTATTCAAAGAAAATATGATCCTTTCCAAAAAGAATATGGAACTGGAGAAGGAGAACATATGTCTGCAGAAGAAATTGATGAAGCTAGAGGTGATTGAAAAAAAAAGAGATTGATATGTTCATGGTTAAGGTGCTGTTTGGTATTGTTCTTGTTAGCATTTTCATTTACTTTATAATTACGTAGTATGGAAAGTTAGGTTAATTTAATATCGCTAATTATGTAATAGGGCGGTTAGGTGTGTTAAAGTATTGCAAGCTTGTTTAAGCAATGTACCTTGAATCAATGTTTAACCAATGTATTTTGAAACCATGTAATTTAAATCCCCTGCATATTCTAACTATCTTTCTGGTGTGGTTATTTTGTTTATGTTTGTATGTAATTATCTTTTTTATGTAATTATCCTTGGAATTAATAAAAAATACATTTTTGCTAATGGGTAATGTTTAATTGCCAAATATAATGTGAAAAAACTATGTGTACAGACAATAGTGGGAGATTTCTTTTAAGTAATAACAAGTTGTCAATATTTAGTAAATTCATATCATAAACTTTTAACCAAATAGTGTAGCTAATGAGTACTTAATTTTTTAACAAACGTAGTTCCATTTTTGCATTATTTAATCTTTTTCAAGGCGTTTAGAAGCAAAAAAAAAAAAAAAAAAAAAAAAAAAAAAAAAAGAAAACATGTTATTTGGAGCAGGGGTAAAAACGGAAAACAGAAAAAATATTAGGAAAAGGAAATGGAAAACAGAAACAAGGAAACAGAAAAGGAAAACAAACACAAGAAAACATACTGGAAACGATTACACGTTTTTAGAATGTTTTGAACTCACATGTGCTTAGTGAAATCCCCATTTTTACCCTCCATTTCAAGGCTGTCACGGGAAAGGAAAACAAAAACAAAAAATTACTATAATACCCCTAATGTGGAAATGATTACTGGTTCACAGGAAAGGAAAAAAAAAAACAGGAAAGGAAAAACAGAAAACATGAGATGACCATTTTGCTCTTGGTTTAGGTCTTTAGCTACTAGACATAAAATACAATCGTTATGGTAGATTACAACCTTTTCTAAACATAATAAAATGGAACAAAACAACTTATCTTGCAGGAAAGAAAAAGATAAAACTGGAGATGACTGTTTTGCCCTTGGTTTGGGTCTTTAGCATAATATAACATGTTAAAAGAACAAAATGCAAAACAAATAATATGGAACAAAATGCAAAACAGTTAACATAACTTGTTAAAGGGACATAACTGAATTACATTTCAATAACAAAAGAATAGGAATACTAGATTCCAAGTATCAAAATTCATCACAAAATACTAGAGTTTTGTCATATTTTGGCTCCTAAATCTAGTATTCCAAATTAACAAAAGACTTGATTTGTGTCCCATTTCGGCTTCTAAATCTAGTATTCCACCTACATCCTCATCCAGATGGCTTTCTTGGATTGAACTTTTCACGGATAATAGGTACATTAAATGCTATCCCGCCAACCACATGAGATTGATCTTCCCAATTAGCTGCAAAAGTTATGAAAGTATTACATTTAATATAATTATAGAATACATACAAATGAAATTATTTCTTACCATTTTCAACATCAAATTGAGTTTCAGGCACTCCATCATCTTGAGTTATAGGAACTCCTTCATCAAATTGTGATTCAGGAAATTGCATCATATGTGAACTTTCCCCCCTTTCCATTTCAGCCCTAAATACGTCTTCCTCAAAATTATCAAACATGTTTATAACTTCATTTTCTGTTGGTGAATCAAAGATTTCATCTATAAGTGACCTTCCTCCTCTACCACCACTTCTACCTACAGATGATCCTCTTCCACCTCTTTCCCTAGTTGGTCTTCTTCCTCCTCTCCCACCACTTGTAGTTGGTTGTTTTGAAGGTGCTTCATCAGAATGTGGTTTTTTAGGCCTACCAGGAGGCTTCTTTTCCTTAGGAGGGGGCACAACTTTTTCATTCTTGCATGTCCTAGCATTGTGCCCTTCCTGTAAACAGTTGTGACACTTCTTTATTTTTCCTTTACCCGAAACAGTTGAATACTTTGTCTTTTTTTCAGTTTGGTCTCTTTTTCTTTTAACAGAAGGCCTTCCTGGCATCCTGTGTTCTTTTGGGGGCAATAGCTTATCATATGGAGTTTTAACCCATAAATTACTTCCATTTAAAGGAACAATGGAAGTGCTATAAGCCAAGTGATACTTTTCCTTCTTGAACCAATCACTTACATAGTCAAGGAGATTTTGGTGGGTATGGTTTATAGCCGCGCATGCATGTACACATGGAAGTCCAGACAAAACCCATAGCCTGCATGTGCATGTCCAACTTGCCAAGTCTACCATATATCCTTCATAACCATTTCTAACCTCCAATAGAGGCCCACTTGGGATAACCATCCAATTCCTATCGAATATAAAAAGTTAGTATAATATTTTTACATTTTATTACGGAACAATCCAGTTTGTAAAGGGGAAACAATCCATACCTCATGTTTTTGTGCCATTTTTTCATCTTTATAAGTATCTTTGGAGCAACAACAGTTTTCCATGAATTTGTACTCCTTTTCATTGCATCAAACCTCTCCATCACATGAAGTCTAATCTCTTCTAACATGATTATCAACGGTTTCCCCCTAGCACCAACGATTGAAGAGTTAAATGACTCAGATACTCCATTTTCTACAGCCTCGCATGCCCTATCTGTTGCAAAATAGGCCCTACACCATGTTTTAGGATTTCTTTTCATGAGATCATCATATGCATCATTGTTCAACTCTTTCATCTTTTCCATATTGTTTTTGAACTGTTGATCTGTTGTGGACATTGTAGCTTCCCAAAACAAGGTTTTATAAATCTCTCCACTGAAACGTTTATAGAAATTGGCACAAATATGACGGGCACATTGCCGGTGCTCAGCATGTGGCATCACCTCCTTCACGGCTTCAAGAAGACCCTGTATTTATATACAATATAAGTAGGGGGTGTTTTGATATAATAGGGGCTCTTTTGCCATAAGTAGGGGCTGTTTTAACTCCATAGGGGTTGTATTAATATAGGGTTTGTTTTGTCATTTATAATATGTCAAAATTTGCTAAAAAGTGTCCAAAAATGTCCATAGGGGCTGTTATAACATAAGGGTTGTTTTTTCATTTATAATATGTTAAAATTTGCTAAAAAGTGTCCAAAATGTCTATAGGGCTGGTATAACATAAGGGCTATTTTGTCATTTATAATATGTCAAAATTTGCTAAAAAGTGTCCAAAAATATCCATAGGGGCTGTTATAACATAGGGGCTGTTTTGTTATTTATAATATGTCAAAATTTGCTAAAAAGTGTCCAAAAATGTCCAGAGGGGCTGTTTTAACATAGGGGCTGTTTTGTCATTTATAATATGTCAAAATTTGCTAAAAAGTGTCCAAAAATGTCTATATGGGCTGTTATAACATAAGGGTTGTTTTGTCATTTATAATATGTCAAAATTTGCTAAAAAGTGTCCAAAAATGTCTATAGGGGCTGCTTTAACATAGGGGTTGTTTTGTCATTTATAATATGTCAAAATTTGCTAAAAAGTACAAAATTACCTTATGTTGATCTGATATTAAAGTAACCCTGTTTCCTTCAACTGTTTCAATATCCGACTGTAGTAACTCAATGAACCACTTCCAATTATCATTATTTTCTACATTCACAACCACCCATGCAATGGGGTAAATTTGGTTGTTTCCGTCTCGACCAATGGCAGCTATCAACTCCCCTTTAACTTTCCCTTTCAAGAAACATCCATCTAAATCAATCACCTTACGACAACCTTTCAACCATCCTTCTTTTAAAGCCTTCAAACAAATGTAGATTATTTTGAAATATTTTGCATCCGGATTGACATCGACTCCAATTTCAACAGTGCTTCATGGGTTTGATCTCAAAACTTCATTACCATAATCCCATATCCTAGCATAGTGATCAGTCAACTTGCCATCAATTAGTGTAAATGATAATGCCCTTGCCCTTTCACACTGACCTCTACTAAGCTTTAAAGAATAATTCTGTAAAAAATCAGCTTTCATTTCTTTGACTTTCGTTTTGGGGTTGCGAATTAGTTCATTAAGATAAAGGTTAGCAATCCAACCCGGAGTTATCAATGAACCGAGGCTGTATTTTCGTGCACAAACATGTTTCTTTTCCAAAGATTTCACTTGCCAAGTTAGTTCATTCCCCATCCAAGATGCCCAACATCTAAATGGACACTTATTCTCGTCACTTTTTTTCCCGCATCGTACTAATATCCTAGAACGATCACACTTGGCAAACCTCAATTGGTATCCATTAGCCACCGCATAATTTGTTAGACAAAGCTTGAACTGTTCTGGGCTTTCGTATTTTTCCCCCAAGTGTGGTTCCATTTTATTCCAAGGTATCCTAGGGTTGTGGACAAGATATTGGTCCCAAATATCTGACCTATATTATCTCCTTTGTCAGTTTCTTCATTTGAAAAGGTCCATTCAGCATCATCATATCATATGTCAGGCCATTCCACTTCTCCCTGTACCAAATCATTCAAAAAAGGATCCCATATTGTCTTGTCCATTGTAGAAGCAACATATTCTTCTCCATCAGACTCATCATCTGTTACATTCAAATCCTCCATATAAACTTCAACTTCCACATTTGAAGTTAAAGTCATAGCTGTTGGAAATCAGCCTCTTAAGACTCAGAAACACACACCTGAACACCTATCAAAACAACAATTTGTATTAACACCAATATATTACTTTCAAATGGGAAACTTCTTCTGTTATTTCTTCTCATCTAAAACCTACAATTACATCGAATATAAACGTAAGAGGTTAGAAAGATGTAGCCCTATGTATGTTTGGGTTTGTTCACAGGGATGTTCCAACAATAGCTATTGGTTAAGATTCCTTAAAGAATCAATGCAGACAAAAACAAAGTAAATAAAACATGCTATCTATGGAGTTAAAGTCACAGTGAACGAGAATTTTAAGTCACACTGAGTCAATGCAGACAAAAAAAAGTATGATTCCTTAAAGAATCAATGCAGACATTTGAAGTTAAAGTCAAAGTAAATGAGAATTTCAAGCCGATTACCTTTTTTTTCTTGTGATTAACCACAAATTTTACGGATGATTCCACGAAGCTTTCCCTCGACAAGCCTTTTTTTTACAGAATGATTGATTGGAGGTGAAAAACGCGGTTGATGTATTGGAGTCGTATGCCACGTACACTAAAAAGAACGAGAAACCTAGGTTTACCGACTAAAATAGATATATTACACGGTTTGGGAAATAATAGTGGTTAAATCGAACAAAGAAATAATATAATGGTTTTTTTAAGCATTGACCTATAATATATAGGGTTTTTCTGGGATTTTCCCAAAATCATCAATAAAAGTCACATAATACCGATTAGCATCCCTTGTGGCGGTTTTAAATGGTCCACATACATCAGTATGTATTAGGTCCAACAAACCCTCACCCCTTTCACAAGTTCCAGTGAAGGGTGATTTTGTCATCTTTCCAAGTAGACAAGATTCACAACTATCATCCGATTTAAGGTCGAATGATTCCAAAACTCCACTCTTTTGGAGTTGGTCTACGCGTTTCTTGTTTACATGTCCAAGACGACAATGCCACAATGATGCCTTATCTAGGCTAGTAGAAGAATCAATATACAACACATTATTTCCTAAGTTGTCTACAATCGACACAGTTTCATACACACCATCACAAGGTAATGCTTAAAAATAAAACACATTTTTAAAGAAAGCATTAATACCACCACATTCATTATTAAACGAAAAGGTAAAACCTTGTTTGTACAAAGCATGAAAGGAAATAATATTCCTCGCCATTTCAGACGAGTACACACATTTATTCAAATCTAATTTTAACCCATTATTCAGCAACAAAGTATAAACTCCAATCTTGGAAACAGGTGAAGCCTTCCTATTCCCCATGATCAAGTTTATCTTCCCGTACTCCACATCCTCACTTCTTCTTAGGCCCTGCAAATCAGAACATATGTGAATACCACATCCTGTATCAAGCACCCAAGAGTTAGAATATGGTGAGTTATTAGACAATTTGTGTAAATACCTGCGTGGGTGGGTTTCACTTTCCCATCATTCAGATCCTGCAAGTATTTTGAGCAGTTTCGCTTCAAGTGCCCCTTGTCCTGGCAATAGTAGCAATCAGCATCCTTGGGAATGGCAGAAGGAGTGGCAGAACCTCTCTTGGTCCTTGATGAGTATCCTTCAAGAGACTTTCCCTTGGTACCCTTCGAAGGGTTCTTCCTCTTTTTCCCTTTGCCTTGCCCGATAGCCAAAACAGGGGTAGATGTTGGAGTAGGAGTAGTAGAGGTAACAACCGACTTACCCTTAAGACCGGTTTCAGCGGTCTTCAAGAGTCCTTGAAGCTTGCTAAGGGTAACTTCCTCCTTGTTCATATGATATGTCATACGGAAATGGTCATAACAAGAAGGTAAGGAGTGCAAAATTATGTCAATTGCCAACTCTTCAGGGAAGTTTACATTCAGCTTCAGTAACCGGTCCACATACCTTTGCATCTTTTGCATGTGGCCCGTGATGGATTCACCATCCTTCATGCGGGTTGTTATCATGGAGGAGATTATTTCATACCGCTCTTGACGAGCACTCTGATGATACCTTTCCATCAGGTCTTGGTGCATCTCAAAAGGGTAGAAGTCCTCATAGGACTTTTGGAGCTCGGTTGTTATCGTGGCCATCATGATACATGCCACCTTAGTAGCATCTCTCTCATGTGTCCTAAATTCAGCGATCTCCTCAGGAGTAGCAGTAGACTCATCAAGCTCTTTTAACTCCTTATCGAGGACATATTCCTTGTCCTCATAATGAGTTACCATCCTGATGTTCCTTATCCAGTCCATGAAGTTGGAACCATCAAAGATGACTCTCCCACAAAGATTCATGAGAGAGAAAGAACCAGTTGGGTTAGAGCCCGAAGCATTAGTGTTGGAAGACATATGAAAGAAAAAAGTAACTTTAGATTAGATATATAGAGTCCTTAATAAGACACCCAAATGTAATATTAAGGCTAGGATCCAATCACAATATATTATACTTAGAAGAGGGATGCCGTAATCTAAGTAATAATATATTTGAAAGGTAGGTAAATGACGATTCACCAATTTCCACCACGAAAATGAAATGATTTATTAGGTTTTAATTGGATTTGAAATTCCAAGATTCTTTTGAGATTCATTGAACTTTTCAATGGCATGTTTTAATCTCGATTGTGTCCTTCAAGTTTTGTGACTAGGATGCCGAGGATCACAAAACAAGGTGTGAATAACCATGCCAATTCACTTGGTACCCTTAATATTATCACCTAATCAATGTGCCGGTTAACCACACACGCTCCATTGATCTATGACAAATATTAAGTCACCCTTCGTGATCCTTACTAGTCCAAGTTAGTGTGCCGGTTAACCACACACGCTCCACCAACGACTTGGTAAGGTACAAAGTGTGAATTCCATGGATTAGCACCATGTTCACATTTTTCCTAAAGTAACTAAGATTGGGAATTAAATAAAAGGTTTAGTTACTTTATAATATTCATCATACTTAATGAGAATTTATAAGTCTTTGTCTTACCCGTTCGGCTAACGACCCTCCACCAGTCAAGCAAGTGGTGGGTGAGAGTATACACCCATTAAGTCGCCATTTTATAGGCAACAACCTTATACCCACCTTATAGACCGGCTTCGTGAATGAGGCCTACTAACGGTAAAACGACTTGTTCTTATACATACATATATATATATATATATATATATATATATATATATATATATATATAATTAACCATTAATGTTATAAATAGTATAATTGTTGAATTTTAACTTTTAAAATTCTAAGTGTTGGAATTAAAGTTTATTAAAGTGTGTGAAACTTTTCCAAATTCCAAAACTTGAGGACAAGTTTTGTAACTCTTCAAAACTTTTCATTTCATAACTTATGAATTAAAGGTTCATAAAATGAAGACTCTTCATTTTATGTAACTTATGTGTTTTTAATGTGTGTTAAAGAAAAGTGACCTTTGGATATCCATAACTTGATGACAAATTATGGACTCCATTAAAACACATAAATGATCAAGAATTAATTTTTAAATAATTTAGCAAATAATTCCTATCATCTTCTAAATTCATAAGAACATGAACATGATTATCAAAGTTTCAAAAAAAATTATATGAACACATACAAAGCATGAAATTTTGATATAAGCTATTGTAAATGGATTAGAACAACCATTACACCTACTAAAATAAGTTTTAAAACATCAAAACAGTTTGGGGTAAAGTTTCTAGTCTATTTCCAGCAGCAAAAGTCGAAAATCTGCATTCTGAACCTTCTACTCGCTGAGTGTACGAACCTACTCGGCGAGTAGGTTGAATTTTGCCTTGGACTCGTCGAGTCCCCCCATGGACTCGGCGATTCCATCATACAGACAACAAAGATTATGACTTTTTTCACTATTTTGCATCAAGTATCAAACAAGCAAGCCTAGGCTCTGATACCACTGATGGGTTTTGAGCAATCTAACACTTCCTAAGTGTGCATGCAACCCTAATAAACCTTGGATCTATGTTTTTCTAAATACATGCAAAATAATAATTTTCCAAGGTTCATAACCTATCTAACATGGCATGGGGTACTTTTAAACATAAAAGAGTTAGAAGAGATTACATACCTTTTTGATGAGTTTGATTCTTAAGGAGTTTGAGGGCCAAGCACCAATAGTGTGAATGCCTCAAATGGAATCACAAATCACCACAAACTCTTGGAAAACTTTGAGAGAGTGTATACATACACTAATTTCGGCCACACACAACCACACACACTAGTGGCTATTTCATGCAACATAAGCATGCTTATATAGTGTACATGATTAGGGTGAAACCCTAATAACCCATGACCTTTCCTTTTCCCAGGATCCATGGGTTAAAAGCTCCATGGATCATCCATGGACTTCCATACAAGCCTAGCCCATTAACAAATGGGTGTTAGCCCACACCATATAAAACCAATAGCCCACAATCTAATTAGTCTTCCTTTTAATCTCTAAATTAATTCATAATTAATTTAAGACTAAGACTAATTAAATAACATGACTTCATATTAATATATTATAACTTATAATATATTAATAATAATATGTGTATAACTCTCATAAAATTATCCATAAATAGTTTGGATGAAATGCAACCCAAATGGACCATGCCGGGTCGGGTCAAGTATATACCAAATAAGTTATGGACTTAGACACCTTATCCAACAAAATTGTGCAATGAAGTTTCATTCCAATGGTTTGGATTGTCATTGGGATCGAAATAAGGT